GCCAGCGCGCCCCCCCGCCCCGATCCTTTTTTTATTAAGGTAAGGCACACCTCTCCGCCCCGACACCTGTATTCTCTTGCACATGGTGTCTAGAGCTCCGACCATTTTATTTCGCGTCGCCACCCCCCCCCCCCCCCCCGCCCGCGTCCTCAGCGCCAGCGTGGGACCCCCGCGCCGTGGCTCTCTGCCCCAGGCCCCCCAGCGCCCCAGCGGGGGGCCCGCCCACTGCCCCCCTCCGCCACGAACGCTTTATCCCGCGTCGCTCCCCCCCCCCACCCCGCCCACCCGCGTCCCCAGCGCCAGTGCCCCCCGCGCCGTGGCTCTCTGCCCCGGGCCCACCGCGTCCCCAGCGGCCCAGCGGGGCCCCCGCCCGCTGCCCCCTCCGCCACGAAAGCCTTATCCCGCGTCGCACTTTCCCCCCCCACACACCTGCGTCCCCAGCGCCAGCGTGGGACCCCCTCGCCGTGGTTCTCTGCCCCAAGCCCCCCCGCGTCCCCGGCGCCCCAGCGGGGCACCCGCCCATTGCTGCCCCCTCCGACACGAACGCTTCATTACGCGTCGCCCTCCCCCCCCCCTCTCCGCGTCCCCAACGCCAGAGTGGGACCCCCGCGCCGTGGTTTTCTGCCCCGAGCCCCCCCGCGTCCCCAGCGCCCCAGCGGGGGCCCCGCCCACTGCCCCTTCCGCCACCAACGCTTCATTCCGCGTCGCGCCGCACACCACCTCCCCCACCTCCCTCCCCGCGTCCCCAGCGCCCCAGTGGGGGTTCCGCCCCGTGCCCCCTCCGCCCCGACAATTTTATTCCGCGTCGCGACGCACGCCACCTCCCCCCCTCACTCTCCTTTCCCCAGCGCCCCAGTTGGACCCCCGCCCCGTGGCCCTCTGCCCCAAGCCCCGCCCAGTGCCCCTTCCGCCCCGACAATTTATTCCGCGTCGCGGCACACATCACCCCCCCTCCTCTCCGCGCCCCCAGCGCCCCAGTGGGACCTCCGCCCCGTGCTCCCTCCATTCCGAGCACTTTATTCCGCGTCGCGACGCACGCCGCCTCCCCGTCCTTCCCCACCGGGGACTTGGGCCCCGCTGCTGGGCCCAGAGGGCGATGCCTTGCCCCCTCTTCCCCCTCCTCCTCCACCTCCTCCTCCTCCTCCTTTTCCTCCTCCTCCTCCTCCTCATCCCCCTTCTTTTTTGTGCAAGAGCCATGGCACACGTGCCACTTGTTTTTCGTCGAAAATCACCCTGTCGGGGGACAGGCCCGACTTAACATTAGTTGGTGTTCGACGTAATCAGGTTCACGCGTAGGCGCCTGTGTTTATCAACAGGTTGGCAATGGCTTCCATGGCCGCCGTCGCGGCCGCGGCCGTCGCCGTCGTCGCCGCGCGCGCGTGCGCCATTCGATATATGTTTGCGTGTGCATTCTACACCCAAAATGCAACACAGGCACAACATGTTTTCCGTGGGCCGTCCTGAATCACTGACAAACGCCGCATTTATGTTTTCGCGTGGGCCCGCGCAGCCGGGGCACTCAGAACATATCATCGGAATCGATTGCGCAATGCGTGAACTACTCAGAACACAAAGGCTTTGTGCCAGTCCGGACGGCCCCACGGGGAAGACCAAAGGCTCTCTTTGCTTTTCTCGCAACTGAGCAATCGGAGAACTATCATGCGACTGCCGCGCCATGTGCTCTGTCCCTTTGTCGTCTCCTGGGCGGGGGAGGGGGGGAGAGGGGCTCTTCCATCGCGCCCCGCTCTCCATGGCGCCCTTGCCCTCCCTCCTCCACAATCTACGCGCATGCCCCGTAGATTGTCCCACGGCCATCGCACGGGGGGGGGGGGGGGGGCATTTCCGCGACGTAAACCAATGCTTGACAACTGCGTTAAACCGCGCAGCGCCCTAGTCCGCCCCATTCCCCTTCCTCTCCTCCTCCTCCTCCTCCGCCTCCTCCTCCTCCTCCTTGCCCTCTCCTCCTCTTCTCCGCTTCACTTCCTTATGGGCAGCAGCGGGGGCGAGAGCTCGACGCGTCGGCGACGCGTGCCAAGCGAGAGGAGCAGCAGGAGGAGCAGGAGAGGCGGGAGATGATGAGGGAGTGCCCGTGGTGAGAGGGAAAGAGGGAGGATGAGGGAGAAACAGAAGGAGAGAGAGAGAGAGAGATGCATACATAAAGGTACATACATACATATACATTTATATACATATATATATACACATATATATAAAAGATAGTGTATATATATAGAGAGAGGAGAGAGAGAGAGAGAGAGAAAGAAAGAGAGAGAGAGAGAAAGAGGAGGCCCCAGGATGCTCGCAAAGACCTCAGGAGGCCCCGCCCCGGAAGAACCGCAGGAGGGTCCAGAGGACCAGAGGAGTTCAGAAGCCCAGCATTGCCTTATACAATATTAATGACTTGTGAGAACTTCAACGTTTGTTGCATAATCTTTCCGTTATATTTTTTCTAGAAAAACTTTTGACGTTCCCAGAGGCCAGGGGCTCCGCAGCCCAGGCGATGAGGAATCCAGAAACCTTCAGGAGCCCATAATTTCAAACTTCTTATTCTTGTGAAAAAGGTTTTGACAGACTTCCAATTCTTTCAGAACCACAAGAACTGGTAAACTGTTTGAAATTCCCAGGGGCCAGGGGATCCACAGCCCAGGCGGCCAGGAACCCAGAACCCCCAAACAACCCAGAACATCCAAACTTTGACAACTTTTCAAGTTTCCAACGCACTAGCACTTATCTAATTGTTTCAAGCATCTAAATCGAAGTTCCCAGGGCCCGGGGGATCCGCAGTCCAGGCGGCCAGGAATCCAGAAACAATCAGAAGTCCAGACTTTCAAAACTTTTCAAACTTTTTGGAAAATAGCTTGATAGTGTTCAACTTTTCGGGAACTTGTCAAACTTGCGGGAAAACGATAAGCTTTTACTTTTGAAGCTGTTTACAAGTTTGAAATTCCGAGGGGCCAGGGGATCCACAGCCCAGGCGGTCAGGAACCCAGAACCCCCAAACAACCCAGAACATCCAAACTTTGAAAACTTTTCAAGTTTCCAACGCACCAGCACTTATCGAATTGTTTCAAGCATCTAAATCGAAGTTCCCAGGGCCCGGGGGATCCGCAGTCCAGGCGGCCAGGAATCCAGAAACAATCAGAAGTCCAGACTTTCAAAACTTTTCAAACTTTTTTGAAAATAGCTCGAAAGTGTTCAACTTTTCGGGAACTTGTTAAACTTGCGGGAAAACGATAAGCTTTTACGTTTGAAGTTGTTTACACGTTTGAAGTTCCCAGGGGCCAGGGGATCCACAGCCCAGGCGGCCAGGAACCCAGAACCCCGAAACAGCCCAGAACATCCAAACTTTGAAAACTTTTCAAGTTTCCAACGCACTAGCACTTATCTAATTGTTTCAAGCATCTAAATCGAAGTTCCCAGGGCCCGGGGGATCCGCAGTCCAGGCGGCCAGGAATCCAGAAACAATCAGAAGTCCAGACTTTCAAAACTGTTCAAGCTTTTTTGTGAACATAGCTTGAAAGTGTCCAGCTTTTCGGGAAAGTTTCGGGAACTTGTCAAACTTGCGGGAAAACGATAAGCTTTTACGTTTGAAGCTGTTTACAAGTTTGAAATTCCCAGGGGCCAGGGGATCCACAGCCCAGGCGGCCAGGAACCCAGAACCCCCAAACAACCCAGAACATCCAAATTTTGAAAACTTTTCAAGTTTCCAACGCACCAGCACTTATCGAATTGTTTCAAGCATCTAAATCGAAGTTCCCAGGGCCCGGGGGATCCGCAGTCCAGGCGGCCAGGAATCCAGAAACAATCAGAAGTCCAGACTTTCAAAACTTTTCAAACTTTTTTGAAAATAGCTCGAAAGTGTTCAACTTTTCGGGAACTTGTCAAACTTGCGGGAAAACGATAAGCTTTTACTTTTGAAGCTGTTTACAAGTTTGAAATTCCCAGGGGCCAGGGGATCCACAGCCCAGGCGGCCAGGAACCCAGAACCCCGAAACAACCCAGAACATCCAAACTTTGAAAACTTTTCAATTGTCCAACGCACCAGCACTTATCAAATTGTTTCAAGCATCTAAATCGAAGTTCCCAGGGCCCGGGGCATCCGCAGTCCAGGCGGCCAGGAATCCAGAAACAATCAGAAGTCCAGACTTTCAAAATTTTTCAAGCTTTTTTTGAACATAGCTTGAAAGTGTCCAGCTTTTCGGGAACTTTTCGGGAACTTGTCAAACTTGCGGGAAAACGATAAGCTTTTACGTTTGAAGCTGTTTACAAGTTTGAAATTCCCAGGGGCCGGGGGATCCACAGCCCAGGCGGCCAGGAACCCAGAACCCCCAAACAACCCAGAACATCCAAACTTTGAAAACTTTTCAATTGTCCAACGCACCAGCACTTATCAAATTGTTTCAAGCATCTAAATCGAAGTTCCCAGGGCCCGGGGGATCCGCAGTCCAGGCGGCCAGGAATCCAGAAACAATCAGAAGTCCAGACTTTCAAAACTTTTCGAACTTTTTGGGGAACATAGCTTGAAAGTGTCCAACTAATTTTGAACTTGTCAAACTTGCGGGAAAACGATAAGCTTTTACGTTTGAAGCTGTTTACAAGTTTGAACTTCCCAGGGGCCAGGGGATCCACAGCCCAGGCGGCCAGGAACCCAGAACCCCCCAGATGCCCAGAAGTTTAAAAACGTTGACCACGTGTTAGAACGTTCAAAAGATTCATTACATATTGCTGACGTGTGTCTATTATTGTTGTTATTATCCTTATTTTACTAGTATCCTTTCATTAGTATTAGTGTTATTATTCCACCTTTTGAATTCGGGGGGTATGGGGGTCTCGGGGGCGTATGGGGGTCTCGGGAGGCTCGGGAGGCTCGGGCGCCCTCGAGACCAAGGCCCGCGGTATTCGTCAAGTCCAGGGAGGCCGCAGAGGTGGGGCGTGAGGCAGAAGGGGCGAGGACGAGAAGGGTGACGAGGAGGAGGAGGAGGAGGAGGAGGAAGAAAAAGAGAGGACGGAGAAGTGTCGTTCAAACCCCCAAGATGGTATCCCCGCATGGTCGCCGATTCCACTCCCTCCCTCCCTCCCTCGCTCTCCTCCTCCTCCTCCTCCTCCTCCTCCTCCTCCTCCTGGTCCTCTTCCTCCATCTCCTCGTCTTCCTCCTCCTCCTCCTCCTCCTCCCCCTCCTCCTCCTCCTCCTCCTTCTCCTCCTCCTCCTCCTTCTTCTCCTCCTCCTCCTTCTCCTCCTCCTCCTCTTCCTCCTCCTGTCTCCGTTCTACTCTTTCTTTCCTTTCTTCCGCCTCCTTCCCCTCTCCTCCTCCTCCTCCTCTCCTCCTCCTCCTCGTCCCTCCCTCCCTCCCCCCCTCTCCCTCCCTCCTCCTCCCTCCCTCCTTCCTTCCTCCCTCCTCCCTCCTCCCCCCCCTCCCTCCGCCCTCCCGTCTCCCGCCTCCCGCCTCCCCCTCTTCCTCCTTCCTCCTTCTTCCTCCTCCGCCTCTTCTTCCTCCTCCTCCTTCTCCTCCTCGTCACCTCCTTCCTCCTCCTCATCATCATCAGCATCATCATCATCAGCGTCATCATCAGCATCATCATCATCAGCAGTATCATCATCATTATCATCATCAGCATCATCATCAGCAGCATCATCATCACCACCATCATCATCATCAACATCATCTTCATCATCGTCTTCATCATCTTCATCTTCAGCTTCATCATCATCATCATCATCATCATCATCATCATCATCATCATCATCACCCTGCCCTCCCTCCTGACTCCTCCCTCCTCCCGCCTCCCTCCTCCCTCCTCCCTCCCCTCCCTCCTCCCTGCCGCCCTCCCACCAGTACCTCCTCCCCTTCCCTTTCTCCCCGCTCCCTCCTCCCTCCTCCCTCCTCCCTTCTCCTCCTCCTGCTCCTCCTCCTCCTTCTCCATTCCTTTTCCTTATACATCACTTCTCCCTGTCGCACCCCAGTGTTTAGGGCGGGCTGGGCGTTTCGCCTGAGACTTCTTTACCATTTATGCTATTGAAGCTTAAACATTGGCAACCACTTCACAGATGGAGGGTGGCCCGTTTTCTAAATGTGGTACTCGCCTTAGTGTCGCACACATTCGCTGTAAAAAGTTGCAAGAGTTTCACGGATTAAGGGCGGTTCCTCTTCACAGTGTGGCTCTCGCGTTAGCGCCGTGCACATTCGTTTCAATAACTGATAAGAGTTGCAAGGATTCCCATGATCAGCGTACCAGAAATGATGTTTTGGCGATCTGGTACGATTCAGGATCGCCAAGACGCAACAGTCAGGTTGATCGGTGGCATTGGAATCCCTTGGCCTGCTTCAGGATCTTCAAACGGTTGTCTTCCAACGAGGCATTTCCCTCAGTGGAAATGAACCGTTGCAGGGACCTATGAAGATGGAGCTTGGAGGGAGGGTTTATTCCAACATCGTTGATGGCTCTCGGGTTTACACTGGTCCTCTTCCTCTTCCTCCTCCTCCTCCTCCTCCTCCTCCTCCCCCCTCCCTCCACCCCTCCCTCCCTCCCTCCCTCCCTCCCCCCCCTCAGGAGGACGAGGAGGACAGGAAGCAGGAGGAAGGAAGGACATTTGGGGAGGACATTGGGGGAGGTGCACGAAGCAGGAGGAAAGAAGGAATGAGCAGGCGGGAGGAGGAACGGGAGGAAGATGAGGAGGGAAGGAGTCGGACGAGGAGGAGGAGGAGGAGGAGGAGGAGGAGATTCTGAATGCCGATGAAGAGAAGGTGTTAGTCATCGCCATGGTGGAGTAAGCTTTCCGGTTGCGAAGGATGGCGAAGGCGGTGTGACATGGGTGTGATCTAGCGTGTTATAGCCAGTCGCCGATCGGGCGT